GTGGTAATTGGTAATTGTAATTAATTACTTTCGGCGAAAGGAATTGTAATTTAATTACTTTCTAACGTCAGTAATTGCAACATTTCAGGCATATGATTACAATTATTTATGCGAAACTTTTGCGGCGCCGACGGAACCTCTCTGAAAGCCTCAGCGCTCCCCCGAGCGGCCTCGCTCCCGGTGAAGCACTCGCACACAGACACACACTCTCACACACGCACAACATACGTAGCGCTGCATTGTTTGTTGTTGCTTACAACGCGGGCTGAGAGACGATCCTCTTCGGAGCCTCCCTCAACGGCGCTGTGTAGCGACGTCTGCGGTGCGACAAGAAAACAATAACGTAAACATGCCAAAATATCCAAAGAAAAAAAAAATGAGCTTCAGCTTTCATCCGAGGTCGCAAAAATTTAATTGTCTATGAGGTTTGTTTGTTTTGTTTCTTTTGTCAGTTTCGTACGTCCCTCTTCCAATACTGTCGCATATCTGTATTATTTCCAAGTTTATTTTCTTTCGGTTTTACTTCGGATATTATTTGCGTAAGCTGTTTTAAGACGGACCTCGCGTTTGTGAATATTGTCACCAATAACTCGGGAGGCCGCGATTCGGTTCTTATTATATTTCTGAACCATCGTAATTTCAAAATCAGTGTAAATAATTTACAATACCGTGATGTTTGTATGTGAACGCGGGTGTATTATCGCGTGTGGGCGGTAGTTTTATATTAACACTCGTAAAATATTCGTATATGACTAATTGTGGCATTTTTATTTGCCTGGCTAATAAACGTCTGTCAACCCAATTTTTTCTCGAGCGATCTGGCGTCTTCCAGTATAAGAATTTATTATTATTTACTGAAATATAGGATCGCAGTACTTCACTGCACCAAAACTGTCAAGTTTTATCCTGAATTTAACAAAATTCATAAAAGGACAGTAGAATACGTGGCATTTATGCAGCGATGCTTAAGCCTCCTCAAACACTGGAATAAGAAATGAACGAGTATGTTGCATTCTAATACAACTCGTTTCAAGTTATATGGCCCAAGTTGGGTCGCTCTCAGAAACAAGTAATTGTAAAGTATTACTTTTAAAAGTAATTTATAATTGTAATTAATTACTTTTCACATAGCAGTGATTGTAGTTGTAGGTAAACTACTTTTGAAGGAAGGTAATAATTAAATCACATTTGGAAGTAATTTACCCATGTATAGTGGAAACTGGATACTGCCAAGGTGAGAGTTCGTGTACTGCTCGAGTAATGTTTGGAAACGAGTGTTTGAAGCAGACGGCAGCAAGTCTCTCGCTTCGTCACGTCGTTACTGGCGGGATGCTCCTCTCTCTTCTTCCTCCGCGCTGCGCGGCCGACGGGAATACCAAATATTTGGGAATACTATTCCCTCTCCTCGCGCCAAGAGGGGAGAAAAGAAGGGCGGTTTACGCGGCAGCGACGACAGCCCATGAGTTCGAAATCTCCGCAAAGTGTCGCCTGTAAAGCTGGCGCTGACCGTTTTTTCCGCCACCTCCGTGCACGGCCAAAAGCGCCGCTGTGATCTACGATTGGCTAAGCGCCCATAATGACATCTTGAGTAGGATCAATTTCGGCTCTCATGGACAGAAATACGAGCAACTCTGACGTCGTTGAATGAGGACCGTGGTTGTTAGGCTTCCACCGCGCTTCTGGCGCATAGGGAACGCTCGTCACCAATAATCTCGGTCGTCACGTCAGGGATAGGCAGACTTGGAAGTAATCCGTTACAAGTAATGGAATTACCTGTAATTAATTACTTGTCTAGTAATTTTGTAATTAATCCGTTACTTTTTTGAAAATGTAATTTGTAATCTAATTTCATTACTTTTTCAGTAACGTGTTACTGAAATTACTCGTTCTAATTCTTCCGCCCCGTCAAAAGAAAAAATAGAGTGAAAGATGGACGATGCAACGGCCTTCGCGCTTTTAGCATGGTAACACAAGACGGGGGTTCGCTCGCGAGGAGATGTAGTGCTGGCAAGGGAAAGCAATTCACGAAAACCGCGAAAGCCCAGCCAGAGTTCGTTTCTGAATCTGGACTACTCGTTCGTACGGTCAGCCAGGCTAGGAGGATTCGACTGTCTGCATGAGGGCAACAAGCTTCGACTTGAAAACGAACGGACTGATTCGAGCGCACAAAAGAGCAGAAAACTAATGGCCCAAAAAAACCGTCGCGTGGGGGTTGTGAAGAGTACGAGCGTCGACACTGTGACAGTGGTGCATATGTCCGCTCACCCCCCCCCCCCCTCCCCCATCCCCCTTCCTTCCGTCCCACACCCTGTGTGTTGCCCCCCAAAAACCAATCAGCATTTTTTTTTTTTGTCATATGAGACCCGTTTTTTGCCAGTCGATCTTTTGCCTGCACACACCCACCCCGCAGAAAAAAAAAAATGTAACGAAACCTTGATTCTGTTCATTTTTGACAGCGCTCTGGAAGCTAAATATTGGCTGGACCGACCAGCTTTATGGATTCTGTCACTTGACTTCGCACTAGCGGATGCGTAAGGCACAGGCGTAAGGGAACTGATGGCGGCAGCTCACTGGAACAGAAAAAAAATGTACCATCAACACTTCTGTCAGTTCAAACAGTAACTTTCGGCAGCAGGCGATAAGGTGGCCGCGGAGCAGAGCCAAAATGGCTTGGGACTTCGAAGCTGAACCCATATTCCTAGAAACGAGAATGTTGGGGTTCTCGTCAGCGAATTGTGCCTATGGGAACTTACTTCGACATTTTAGGGAAAGGGAACTCCCAGCCCGAGTTTTCTGAGAATAAACAGTGGCTGACTTGGACACAGGAGTTAGGGCAGCGTAAGGCGGCAGTAAACGCGTGAGATACATTGAAGCTTGCTGTTCACTGACAATCGTGCTTTTTAATAATTTCTAAACGAAAAAATCAGCTTAGCTGAGAGATTGTGGATTAATATTTCGTGTGAAGTTTCGGTTTTGATTAGTTTGATGATCAAGAAAAAAGATCAAGTGGGTCAAGGCCGGATAACAACCTTCAAGAAGCGGGACTCTGAAATCTGCCCGAACACAAGTACCGAATGTAGGTCTCACCGCCAGTTGGTTTTAGTAGCTAAACCAGCCCCTATTTAGGCAATATGCAGCAACCACAGAAAAACCACATCTTCAGGAGAGTCGCGTTCTAAAGTTTGACGATGCCATATTTCGAATGGTGTGCGTGTCTCCGCCGCCCATGTGCATTCGTCGCATGTCCATGGGATTCAGTTCTGTCCCGGGTGAACAACGCCAGATTCGTTCATGTCGAACACCTGTTCCAGTCCTTTACAGTTTTATAGATCCATCCTCCTAAAATTATCCTGAAATGATCGGTAGATATAGTACTGAATCTGTTTTATTATTGATGGGGCCCGAAATTCCCCCCACAAACGCGCAGTAGATATTGCAGGTATTTTGCGTGTTTCTTTGGAGTAACGCAAAAGTAATTGAGTAAAGTAACGAAGTAATTAATCCGTTACTTTTTATGGGGAGTAATTTGTAACGGTAATCCACTACCTTTTAGGCCAAGTAATTGTAATTGTAATTAATTACTTTTTGGAGTAACGGGCACAAGTCTGGGGATAGGAGGCATCAGAGGGCGCCACCGCAACGTCTCGTCGCTCCCAGCCAGACTAAGAGACGCGGAGCGTGGCCGAGCATCCTCAGCCGGTGAGCCGAAAGAAAGCCGGAAGGCGAAGCAAGAACATGATAAGCGCTTCTTCAGTTGGAAGTGAGGCCATAGCCTCCTATGTAGTGACAAAGCCTGCCAGAACACCACGAGAAGCGGCCACCGAATGGTAAAGGTGGACCGGCAGGCAACGGATGAGAGGAGGGCCACTTGACTGGCGCCCCGCTGCGTCAAGACGTCGAAACACACTTCTCCCGAGCGAACAAGTGTGTTTCGGGTCCTCGCCGCTGCAAAAACTTTGCGCTGGCGTCAGGTTCCCCGAGAAACGGCTCTTTGATGCTCTGCATGCGCTACCAGACCTTCGCGCTCCAAATCTGCGACCGGGCACCCTATGGCTCCGTCGTCGAACTGCCAGGCTTTGTGAGTGTAGAGGAGGCTGTGGTGAGGCAAAGTAAAACCGAACTAAGAAATCTACAAAAAAAAAAATAGATTAAAGAAGGCGCCAGTGAATCGAAGGTAAACGCGTCAAAAAGGAGCAACGCCCTACCAGCGTCTACAGGGCAGGGGTTTCATTGGAGTGTGGGGGCCAGACCCCCGAGGAGTCCACGGTCTACGTCAACAAGATTTCCTAAAAAGGCAACCTCGTGCTCTCTGCTCTTTGGAAGTTTCCCAAGTGACATCTTGAACTTTGATTTGTTCGTGGGACTACTTTGGGCTCTTACCTGTTGTAATGACAAAAGTTTGAATGGCGCCACCTCGCCAACGGGCTGACATTTTTTTTTTCATTTTTTTTTAGTAGAACAAGAGAGTTCCACCGTCATTCTCGTTGCTCAGTTGACTCGGAAATTAATCGAACTTCGTATGTATCGAAAGAAAATATATTCTTCATATGACAGCTTCTGCATTTCTGCCGATTTTATTGGCGGCAATCTCAGAAAATACTCGTATTTCAATGGTGATAGCTTTTTGGGGCGAGAATAGTAGAGGAATTGCCCTGTAGGTGCAATGGCAAAAAGAAGGAAAGCAACAATTAAACGGAACACGAGGCAAATGAAAGCTATAAGAGCAGTGCCATGTTTCGAGCGGAAATGAATCGACGATGTGAGGTGAGTATCGCGTATTTCATTTGTATAGCTCTCGAGACATGGGAACAGGGGCTGGCAGCCTGCGGGACGCGTCTCGGCGAGCGGCGGGTCGCTTGTCTAGGGATTTCTCGGTGTGCCGCTAGGGAGAAACACGCGAGGCCTAGAGGGAGAAAAGCAAAACGAGGTGGCGGAAGAGGCGAAGAGAGAATGTGAGCGGAGGGGGATCGGGTCCCGTGGAACAGAAGGCTACTCGGGCCAGTTGGGATCGAGACGCCGTGGCGGGTGCTCGGAAAAGTTACCTGCGCGCACTTCGCGCCTCGCTCGAAGTTTTCCAGCGACGAACACGTGCTCCGTCTCGCGTTACCTCGCTGTGTCTTCGGTGTCTGCATCGCGCTCCCCGGATGAACGAAGGCCATCGTTCGGATCTCGTACCCCACGTGCAAATGAATCGGCGCCCAAGTTCGAGCACAGTTCCCAGCGAGAACCTCAGCCTCCTCGGTGGTCGACAGTACTGTCCTTAGCCTCGTGTTGGACGCGCTGAAAGACTCGGGGGGCGTGTCGAGGAGCTGCCTGGATTAAGCCGTGCGGAGACAAGTTTGGAGTTCTTTGCCTGGCGGAAGAGCTGAGACGATGCGTGCTGCAGAGGGATGTGTTGGGGGATGATACGCTGATCCCGGTGGAAGACGCGAAGATGGACCTCTTCGTCGGATTTCTGGCCGTTTTTCTCCTTCGGATCGCCGCGGGTAAGCGGAACTTCCGTTGTACTTTTCAAAAACGCAGACGGTGGAGGGTCACCGCGCTGTGCACCTAGCAGTTGACATCCAGATAGTGAAACGGCAATCATTAGAATGAATCTCGTCGGAAATTCCGCCGTTCCTCGTCGGAGCACTTAGCTGGTATTTTGAATATCTGAAGGGAGCTGAAGAAACGAGGGGCCAGGGGTCTCCCCAGGAATTGAAATCAGGGGGGTGTCTAAATCTTTTTGGGGGGTTAAGGGGGGGGGGCATTGCGAATATAGGAGTCGTTGTCAATTAAGGGGGTGCCTTCGGAAAAACGAGGGGGGGGTCCTAACCCCCCCTAGGGGGGGTCTAGGGAAATCCCTGCGAGGGGCGCTTCTCAGGCTCAAATCTGATTGGCTGCGGAGCGATAAGAATTAAGATAGCGTGCATTCCCTGCGCTGCTGTCAGCTGCTCTGTAGGTACGATGGCGATTGGTTTCGCGAGGAGAACGTTGGACGCGCAATTTACACGCCTAGATCCACGAGCATACGTAGATCTGCTTATAGTTGCACGTTACGAGCGTACAAGCACTTTAGACAAATATTGGAGACAGACGTTACACTCTCGCACATTTCTAGCGTTAAATGGTGTTGGAAACAAATCATAATTTCAGGAATCTTGGCCAACAACACGTAACCTTAATCGTCTAAATGGGCGAATTCCCGATTATAATGACTCCATCGCCAGTCCGTTAATAAAGACAACGATGGGACTGTCCTACATCCGCACGGCTACGTAACTGCCACAAAAGTCGTTTTTCTTTTTAAACTATTCTTTTTGTTCGGATAGAAGTTTGATTCGCCGAGCGATTGAGCTGTACCACGTTGCGCACGAACGAAAGAAAACTAGCGTGCGCTGCGCTTCCGATGGCGCTGGGAAACTACGAGGGTTTCGATGGGTGGAGAGCGCATCTAGCTCCCGATCTCGCGGGGGGGTCCTTGGAGTGGCGATCGCTCCGTCCGCTTCGCTGTCGACATTCTTCTGGCGGTATACACGTTTGCAAGTCCGGTCTCAGGGCGCCGCCATGTTCCTGAATGGGGTGCGCTCTTGGGCGCGGCCACAATCTGATTACGACGCCTTAGCAAGGCTTCGTAATCGGATTATGATTCGCCCAAGCGCACCCCAGTCAAGCAAGATGGCAGCGCCCTGAAGCCGGACTTGCAGACGTGTATAGTCCGACGACGACAGGCGCTGGACAGCTGTTGTCTGCCACTGCGTTGGGACCGTATGCTCGCCTTGACGATGGGCGTAAGTCGGGCTTTTTCTACCATAGACGCACTGATGGCCCCTGGGCGTAAAGCCTGACTGCAACCGCATTACTCCGAACTGTTGAATCAACAAACGGACAAACAAGTTTAACTGTCGCGAGAACCCAATTTTCGACAATTTCACCACTCAAAAAAGTAAGCGAAAAATTATTGTACGCCAGTATTTCACCCCATGGTAAGGAGCAGAGAGCCTACCCCTTCCAATCTCCAAGCATTCCCAGAGAGACTCGGCGAAATGTCGAGCCCGAGAAAAGAGCGTCGTTTACAGTATTTGATGTAACGGATGTGCGGAAACGTGTATTTCTCGTTTCTCAACTAGTACTTAAATGTCTGTCGATCTGGCCACTCTTCGTGGCTTGTGAAGATTATTTGCCGATTTCCGCTGGTCCATGAGTTTGTCGCAAGAAGGCCAGCTAGTATGCACAGAGGAAGAAGGTGTCCCATGGAACGAATCTACAAACCGACGAAAGTCGAAAAGTTTCGAGTGCTACATAACTTTTGCCAAATTACCCCAGCACCGAATGCTCGGAACTCAGGTATACATGGCTGCCCGTACTCGCATTAGGTGTACACAAGATTCGAACCGAAAGAAAGCGTTGAGGAGCGCGCGTGTAATGCATTGGCGTAGCCAGGAGTTTATTTCGATGGAGACTGATTATGTGATGACTTGGTTTGCCACCCTGGCTACGCCACTGGTGCCGAGGGCCATTGGTTCTGCGGAGCACCGACTCGTACAAACGCCACACGTACAGCGCGGGTAACTACATTCGCAGCACGAGGTTATTCAGCGAGGCTTCTGGCAAGTTCCATTTGCAGCAGGTATGGCGCCTACCTCGCTCGCTTTCTGAAGCGACGAACTTGCCCGCGCTGGGCTGTGCATTTGTGAGCACCGCAAATTGGCAACACTGCGGCAAAGCCAAATCACGGATTTGCACGGAAGCGCGCGCAGCTTGAGCGTGGAATTCCACGGGCTTTTGCCGCTTGGAGACACGGCCGCCAATGGGACCGCAGCTCGAACCACTTGGAGTTTCTCAGCCGGCGGAAAAGCCAGGGGTCCGGTTGCCACCCTGTCCGCCTAGAATTGGATGGGCCGTACCTGCGTGCGCTGCTGGATATCCGCTGCTACACACATTCAAGACACCAGGTCGCGTCGGCAGTCGCACTGGACCATAGAGAGTCCGCGTGGACCTAATTCGAAGCCAGCCTACTTTTCCGCTGTCGAAACCGAAATCGAGATTGGCGAGCCCCCCGAAGAGAAAGACTGCCGTACACCGTGCCTGCAACGCTCCGCGGAATGGACGGTTTTCCTAATTCGCAGTTCGAAAACACTCGTTTGAACCGAGCGCGGTCTCCGGCGACCCGTTCCGCGGAGCAACAGGCTCGAATACGGCGCCATCAGCATACGCTCGAGCCGTGAATTGGAAAAAGTAAAAATGCTTCCATTCTTGAACTGAAGTAGAGCGCCGCGCTTCAGAACGCGCAATCAGCCGCGCTAATAACCCTCAGCCCTTTTCAGCGCAGACTTGAACACACACACGCGTAAACACAGGTTAGACCCGCGTGTGACCCGCACAACCCGCCGACACGCTTTTTTTTGTTATCATTATTGTTAAAAATTGAGTTTACGGGGAGAGGACAGGCAGTCACACCGATTATAAGAAATAAAGTCAGGCCGCATAAGCGAAGAAGAACAAGACAGAGTAGGCCTCTCGTGATCTCGAAGAGTCTCGTTTGCCAAAAGTCGTGACTCACGAGACAAAAGGCAACGGGCGAAGAATAAGCTTCGTGACTCCCTCGACGCACTCGTCCCGTTGGCTAAAAGAACGACCGCGACTTGGGGGTCGGAGGCCGTGACGTCACTGACGGCGTCGTGCACCTTCGTCTGACGGTGACAACGTTCGTGACGGTCGCCGTCGGGTGGCACGGACGACCAACAACTGTTACGGCGGGCCGGAGTACTCCGGTAGTTGCGTAATCTTTTTTTTTTAAACTGTCTACGGGAACCCTGCGCAGAACCTCGCTCGCGCATGTTGGTCCCCCCGTAGCGAGGCCATGGGAGAACCTGTCGGTGTGACGTCAGGCAGGCGCAACCAATGGCGCTGCGCCGTGAAAAGTCCGGAACTCTCTTCCCCAGCGTGGAAAGCGGGTAGGAACTGCGTATTACTGCTGCCGCACCTTCATCCGACGGAATGTCTAATCGATTTGCGGTTTGTAACTTCCAGAAACGTAGAGAACTTTCTCCGAGCTTTGGTTTCGTTTTTTGACAGCCTCTGTTCTTTGCTCCAATCAAAAGCCGGCGAGCAAATTAAAAAAAAAAAAGCCTCCTTGCCGCCGTTCCGTAGGATGACCGATCGCCTGGTGACCATAATCGAGCGCCTGCTTCGAATCCAATATCGAGAATACTGTCGTGGTGGGACGCTCTACCGCATGTATTCGCGGCAGCCCCACGATGTGTAACGAAAAAGCGGAAATGTGTCCCCTGTAGGGATGCTCTCCGCTTGCGGTGTGTCTTGCCAAAGGTAGTCCTCTTATGTTTGGAGGGCGCAGTTGTCCGCATTCATTTTTCGAGGAGAAAAGGTACGAAATAGTCCGCTCTATCTTAAAATAGTTCGTACAGAAAAGCGGGCGTTAAGCCTAGTTCACATGCAGCGGTTTTGGCCCTAGAGCGGCGCGATTTCTGCCGTCGCGGCGCTCTGGCCAGCACCAGCAATTCTGCGGCACGAGCGCCGCGACGGCAGAAATCGCGCCGCTTTAGGGCCAAAATCGCTGCATGTGAAACAGGCTTAAGGCTTTCTGCGCTCGGGTACTAGTTTTATTTTAGCGCACCGAACGTCGAACGATATGCCAATAGTAAAATCCAAATTTATCCCAGCCGAAAATTCATTTCATGGCCCTTTGGAAGATATCGCGAATGAATTTTGGGCTGAGAGAAATGGGGATTTTACTAACCGCATGTTGCTTAGTGCGCTCAAAGGATCTGATACTCGACGGTAGATAACCGCTTTTCGGTCAAATATTCTCGAAATCTAGCGGACTCCTTTCCTCGAAGGTTCTCCGCCTTCTCCCTGTGATGCATCCGCAGTGCCCAATTGCGCGTCAGCCGAACCCAGCTCACGCATTGGACGCGAGCCCTGCGCCACTCGGACGTCAACGCTCGTCAACAATCCATCCGTCGACGAATATTTCAATTCCCGTCCGTGGCCAATGGGTGCCCTGACAGCATTGATCATCGCTTGCGAATGACAAGTTTCAGGGCGTGAGTCAAAAGCACGCTGGAAGCTTGGAGCATAGCCTCCTCGATACCCACAAAGCCCATGGCAGTCAGCAGTTTCACCAGAAATTGAAATAAGGGGGGGGGCCTAGATTTTTAGGGGGGGTAAGTGGGAGGGGGGGGCATTGAGAATAGAGAGGCAGTTGCAAATTAAGAGGCAGCCTTCAAGAAAACAAGGGGGCGCGGGGGAGGTGTACACGCCCCGCAAAGGCTGTGTAGGGAAATCACTGCTGGCAGTTCGACGACGGAGCCATAGAGTGCCCGGTCGCAGATTGGGAGCGCCAGGATCTGGTAGCACAGATCGTTCCTCGGGGAGCCTGACGGCAGGCAGCGCACAGCTTTTGCAGCGGCGAGGACCCCAAACATGGTTTTCAAACCCGACGAGAAAAGAAGCGGTAGCGCGAAGGACGCGAAAAGCTCGAGCG